TCTAGCTGTGATCGCTATCAAGAATTTGCCCACCACGGGTATAACTTTTTCATCACCATATTACGATGGGCAAATGTGATCACCTCTTCAAGGGATAGTCGTTTCTTAAGTGGCACGCAGCGCCATCATATTGAAAGTAAAGATTGTGCAGATCAATACTACCCAAATTTAATCATTTCTCTTTGGCGTAATCCATTCTACATAACCTTCACCCAAGTTAATTTTCGAAAAAAATAAAGTCCACTGACACCGCATTGAGCGGATTATGTTTTTATACATAACTACTTATAAGTTGTTGTTGTTTGGATCCAATCGGATTGTAATTGGATTTATAAATTGTCAAAATGTTGACAAATTGTGGAGGAGGTACCAGGCTAAGTAGACCAATGGGTTTCATCTTTAATCTTGATCTAGGCTTGGTAAAAATATTACTATATGTGATGTTTCGATTAGGTCGGAATCATCATTCTCTTTTTAATATTTGGTTAACAAATTTTCAAAATGTTGATATTTTTCGATATTTATCTCCAATACACCGATATCGACCTCGTTCCCATTAGCATTTTTTCCAATAATAAAAAAGTGTAAAAGTGTGTTACGTATATAAAATTAAATTTTCTTAAACTTTTCTCAATTCCATAAGCATTTTATACTCTCCTCCATAAGGACCCTTCTGTTAAATTCACGATAAATTTCGCAATATTTGATATTTTACACATACAGTAAAATCTCGATAATTCCGATCTCGCTAATTCGGATTATCCGGTAACCGTATTGTATAATTCGGATTGTTTGACTCCGAATTGTGAAGATACAATATTGTTATGAGTTTTTTTTTTAATCGTTGCAAATTAGTGAAAATAGTACCTGTTATAATTTATCGATATTGGTCTATATTTTAAGATAACCTCTACATAACGGTATCCACATTATTCGGTATTTTAGGAATTTTTGGCACTTATTTTTTAACTGAATTGATTGTATGTGTTTCTCATTGGCTGTTCCTACCAAAAATTTGCCATGGCATTTTATTTTCGAAAGTGCAAAAAACATATCAAATATAATACGAGAATTCCATTTGTAATTCACATATACGTTGCAATTCGAGAACTCTATTTGCATTTCATAATATATCAGTTGTAATTCGATGATTTTATTTGTAATTATTTGGAATTTGAAATAAAATTTTACGAATATGAAATTAATTTTTACGAATTACAACTTATGGATTACAAGTGAAATGTCATGAATTTCAAAATTAATTCTTTGAATTTCAAATGAAACTTTATGAATTTCAAATGGAAATGTACGAATTACAAATAAAGTTCTTTATATTTCAAATGACCTTTTTTTGGATTACATATGAAAAGTTTAAAATTACAAATGAAATGTTGTGAATTACCAACTACATTCTCTAATTATAAATGAAATGTTATGAATTGCAAATTGAGTTTTCGAATTACAAATGAATTGTTATGAATTGCAAATTGAGTTTTCGAATTACAAATGAAATGCTCGAATTACAATTGAAATGTTTTGAGTAACACCTGAAAAAAGTTGACAACTCCCAATTTAGAAAAGTCAAAATGAATTAAGGACCATATCTTGATGAACGTTACTTGGAAGTTTCTACCAATATTTTGAAGATTATTCAAGCTATGTTTAATATTTAGAGATATGATTTTGTAGTTGTATGAGGTTATGGACAACAGATGCCGACTTCCGACATTAGGAGCACATACTCTAAGTGTTACTACTAGGATTTTTTTTTTAAATTTTGTACAAGAAGTCGTTTTCTTAAAAAAATCGCACAGAAAAGAAAAAATGTCCAATGCCCTTAAAACTGTGCGATAGTTTTAAGATTTTAGTATTGCACTGTATAATTTTCATGATATAGGGTAAACGCACCTAATTACGGCATGTACTAATAGTCGGCAAATATGAAAAATACCTTTAATAATTTTTAATAACACTGAAACCTATCTGTGTATAAGATTTAATCGAGCTAAGTACATTTATTCAGTCAAAATTTGGCATTTGGTCAATAAGGTTTGTCAACACTAGCGATAATTCATGTTTCTTGAGAAGAAATTAGTGGGCATATCAATTTCAAAAGACTTGTAATTATATTAAAATTATATATATTTTTACAAGGATCTTCTTCGTAATTGTAAAGAACATAGAAGATAATACTTTAGAATTGAAAATCATTAAAATATATTTGTATTTATGACATTTTTATCGATGTCGCCCTTAGGAATAAAAATTTTTAAGGTTTTCCTACAGTCGGCAAATGGGTGAATAATAAGCACCATGTCGATCATTTTGGCTCAAAATTGGAAAAAAATGTTAAATAAGACTTCTAATGCCGAGAACTGGATAACAGTTTCCCGAGAATTGGATAACAGGTTCCCAATTCGGCACCATGTTTTATAATTGTAATATTTTAATAAATAATTTTATTTTTTATAACTTTTCCAATACAAAACTGATGGAAACCTCTACTTTTACTATTGTAAATAACAGACAAATCGATTAAATTTATCTTTAACTAAAATGCTACGTGCCGACTATTGGGACATAACATGCCGACAATTGGAAAAAAGTGTCGACTATTGGCACAAAGGCACTATTTTACCTAATTATCAATTTAATCTACTTTAATACAAATTAATTAAACAAATTTGTATTCCTTTGGGGAGTACACAAAATTTCAAATACAATATCTTGGAAAAGATGCACTTGGAATGGTGAAAAGCGAAATTTCTTAAAGAGCCGACTATTATGCACTTACCCTATTTGTAGAAAAATTAAAACAAGGGTCACATTATAAGTTCCTTCCCACTTTTATTTTTATTTTCTATATCCCAATAAAAATTATTTAACAAACCCATTATCATTCTCTTTAAAAATGTCAGATCTCACAATTGATTATGCCGGGCCAGAAAGGGTTAACGTGAATTAATGTAAATAGTGCAATTATAACATAATCGACAAACACATTAATCTTAAGGCGAATCTAATTTTCAATTTGAAATATTAAAAAATATTTATTTTTTTGCAAAAAGGTTTGGGATACAGCCTGACTATTTTGCAAAAATAAAATACAAATGGTATTCCAAAAAACTCGCTAACACTACTAAAAAATATTTATATTTTCCACACTTTTGTCGATTAATCTCGACATCTATTATAACTTTTAATCATTATTTTCAGAATATATAAGATCATGAAATTAAAAAAATGATATTAATTAAAAATCGTGAAATTGTGCCCTTGCAAACTTCTCATCCGAAGTGTATTTTCCATTTGTCATGTTTAGTTTGGTTGCACTGACTGAAAAACACGACCACCACATGCGTCCTCGTTGTCGCTGTAGCGCACGGAGTCACGTACACCATTAAGCAACGAAACAACTAAAGAATAAACGGCAAATATACTAGCTGACTGGCAGGCAGCAGCATGCAAAATCCAACTCTGAAAACCGGCAAGTAAGGGTGATATGCCTGCCGCTGAATGAATCGATGGCTGGATGGAGGAGAGATTGAGGTGCAATGAAGGATGGAGCGTTGCAACAAAATCATACGAGTTTTTTTTTGTTTGTTTGTCTTCTTTATTTATGATTTTTCTTGGTTTCTAGAATCATGAACGGACATGTACAAAATCTTGTTTTATTGCTGGAAGGAGTCGAAAGGAAATTGAACAAGTTTTTTGTTTTTCATTTTTTTGTGAAATGATAGCCGGTTTAGGTGGAAAGTTGATTTTTCTGTGTAGGCTGCAGGAAATGTTGGTTTGGAGAAAAAACATTAGGGAGAGAGAATAAGAAAGAATATCAAATTATTTAAGGTGCAAGTAATTATCTGTTGTCATTGTTGTTGTTTTCTTCTTGTACCAGCTGATATTTTCTAGATTTTCAAGATAAACAAGGGAAAATCAAAAAAAACACAAGACTAGAATTTTGGTTTGAAAAATGAAAAAAAAACTATGGAAAATTACCAATATCCACATATGGTTGATGGCTGGCTGGTTGGCTGTCTTGCATGAAGAGCCATAAAGAAGGCTGGCTGGAACAACAGCTACCTGAATTAGAAGTTTTTCAATTTTTCTTTAATCTTGCCATCACCATGAAGTAGGTAAATGAGAGAGGAAACGCGAGTGAGTGGTGAACAGCAACAACAACAAAACAACCCAACGACAATTCATGTGTGTGTTCGCTCATCTACTCTCTCAACCTCTCCGTTGGGCAAGAAAAAACTCACGGCAGAGAGCCAATGTGTACAAAAAACTCAATTGACCCACAAAGAGTACGAGTAAAAGAGTCGACTGAGTGAAAATGCAGTGACAGAGAGTAGCCGCCTATAAATACGCTGCACAACCAGCTGCCATGGTATAGTAGCTTCGATACATTGCTGAGATACAGATACAGAATAACAGCAGTAAAAAGATACGCAAAGCAAAAGCCATCTGGCATTTCATATCTATCTACCTATCTGTGTTATTAATTTTTAACGTAAATTTCATATCGTATTGATGAAATTTTGTATTCTCTAAATTGAAAAAAAATTAAATATAAAGAAGAGTTCTAGCTACACCAACAACAAAAGAATAATTGCCATTTGTGTTAACAGAAAATTGTGATAAAGAAGTTAATAATATTTATGTTTTTTGCTGCAAATAACAACTTAAAACGAACTGTGATTTAGAAAAAAATATAAAGTTATCACTTTTGCAACAACAAGAAAACCACAAAGACAATCCAACAACAACCACAGTTGTGAAATAAAAAAAAGACAAAAAGCATAATTGTGATAAATCAGTTCATAAAAAAAAACTTCTTGTGTTTGGCAAACCTTTTTTAATTTCGAAACTCGAAACAAACATCTTCGAGAAGTTTCGATACCTCGGACAAAAATCTAAGAAAAAAAAACGTGCAAACAACTTTTTTTACTGTCACAGTAAAAAAAACCAACCACAGACAATTTTGTTGAATTAACATCTGCGGAAAATTATGAAAATGGAAATTTTAGCCGTTCAACAGTTCTACCATCCATCAGATTTTGCCGGTTTGGGGTCTAATAAAATCAGAGGTAAGTTGAAATTGTGATTTCAAAATATTAGGAAATCATTAAAAGTTATGTGTTGATTAAAGAATGATTTGAAGTAACGCTTTTTAAAAAATATTCAAATTTATATTCCCAAATAATTATGGATTTTGAAAAAAACCTCAACAAATTTAAAAGAAAAATTTTTAAAATTTCTGATGAAATAAAAAATTTGCCGACGCAAATTCACATCCCAATTTTTTTTCAATATAAATTATTACCAATTCCTCGTAGGTAGTTTGTAACTTGCATATAAACACCATGTTTCAATTAATATTCTTGAAAGAACATTTTTTACCGTTAATATGTCATTCATCTATGACACATTATTTCCGTTTCCGTTGTTTTTTTATCATTATTGTTTTTTTCCGAATTCTATGTCTCGTGCTAGCCACTGTTGCTAACTGAAATTCAAGAAAAAAACTACAATAACAACATTTAATTAATTTCAAAATTTTCCTCAAATCTTTGTGAAAAAATAATTAAGACTTTCTCCACTGCCATAAACGTATAATTATTTTGTGTTGTATTTTTTTTTGTTTCATTAATTTACTACCTTCCACAATAAATCTAGTCAAACGTTTTTTTTTTCTTGGTGAAACAGAAGGCAATTCAATTAAAAAAATTGAAAACAAAAAGAAAAACGGTTACACGCCGCCAACAACAATACCCACCACCACCAGTCAGCCAGCACTTCCAACCCCTGAGTCATAACGCATAATCGTCATTGTTGGGTTGTCTTTATACGCTACACATTCATGTTTGTTTCCATGCTAAAGTACAATGTGTTTGGCTGGCTGGATGACTGGCTTGTTGTCAAGAGCCATAGAAACACTATTGAAAACAAAAAACAAGCAAGCGTATTGTTGTTGTTACTTTTTGGTTTGGCGTGTAACGACCTCGCTAGCAAACAGCAACAACAACCAATTTTGTTGTTGCTAGCGTGTGAGCTCTTGCTATTGTGGTCTGGCGCATAGACAGAGTGTAGTGTGTGCCAGCCAGCCTGCCAGCTCTAGCTTTGATTTCTTTTGTTTCGTTGATTGGGGGAAAAGCAGTGAGCGAGTGCTACGTGCGTTTTTCCACGCACACACAAGCACACACACTCCCAGCCAGCACTGCAACAACAATAGAAACAACTTGAACATTCGAGAATGAGAAGTGGTGTTTCCTCAAGGGGGTTACTTCAAATCATGATTTTAGAGATAAAAGCAATTTCACAAACAAATTTTAAATTTTCTTTTTTTTATTAATTTAAAATTTTCTTTTTTCTATTAATTTGCAGATTGGACCTCACCTTTAACACCACCACCAGAGGCCACTACCAAGGCCACCACAAATCTACCCTACAATCAAACAAATACCATCAATAAAATGAAATGCAGTATTAACAATCAAAAGAACAAACGTTTGTCCGAAAGCCAAAGCAAGCGTTCATCAACATCATCATCGGCTACTAATCCCAAAACCAACAACTCCAATCAGGGTAGTGCAACCACCACCACCCACAACAATATCTACTACAGTGAAGACTTCGATGCCACAGCCATTAATGAGTTGTCCCTACGTTTGCTGGATGAGCTAAGGGCCGCCAAGAGCCGTCATTTGTCCTGCACCGAAGTCTCGCTACCCTGTGATCTCACACCACGCATTGCAGCTGAAATCCTTCGTCTGTCGGAAAAGGAACCCTGTGGTCTGCGCGGTTGCACCATTTACATTGAATTCGAAGATGAGCCGAACAACTCCCGACGCATTGCCTCGCTCAAATTGGATAAGGAAACAGTATCTACATTTGAGATCTATCTGACACTGCGCCAGGATCATCGCGGTTGGGCCGCTCTATTGCCGCAATTCATGAAGGGTCTGTCGCGTACGATTACCATTAGTCCGGAATTCAATATCACCAAGAACAAGCTATACTCTCCCTTGATGAGCAGTAGTTATAGCTATACCAGTTCTAAGGCCATTTCAACGCCCACAGCATAAACCCCAGCTATCTACCTACCACTTCATTGAATTGTTTAAACACCACCACAATTATCATCCCCCTGAAATCATCATTACCCACCTTTGAATTCATCACTCACCCCACCTATGAAACAGATCCAGCTGTTAAATCTCAGCATTTTTTATTTTAATTATAACAGCAACCCTCAAACCTGATACCAATGCGCGAACTGTGTCTCCTCCTATAGTTTTTAAGTTTCTTTTTGTGTTCTTCTTTTCTGTTGTCTGTCTGTCCTTCGTGCGATTTTATTAGAAATCGAACCAAGTTATCGAATATCTCTTTTTTATATTATATACGTATGTATACCCCCATGTCCCTCATACCCCTCAGAAAAAAATATTTGTTGTAAGAATTCCAGGATATACTCTGGAAAAATTTGTGAAAAACGTCCCCAAGTTTGAGGATATTATGGCAAACATACACATATCCCCAAACTCAAGGCTGCCAATTAGTAAACGCGAAGCAACAACAACAACAAAACTCATGAAAAGAATGTGATACTTATTAAGATGCTAAGTTTTAATCTTAACAAACAAACAAAAACAAATCATGTGAATTATAAAATGTGTTAAAATTGCAAACAAAAATTATTAAATTAAATTAAAAAACAAAACAAAATAACCACCCTTCCCCAAAAGAAAAAAACCTAGATACTCATCCTACTCGAGTCAACCCCAAACACACCCACATTGTATGTGTGTGTGTTCGTGGTTGAACATGTTGTGAGCCATCTATCTAATATAACGAATGTCGATGTGTTTTAAATTCAAAGAATTTCCAAAATTTTTTGATATTTATTTAATCTTAATTATAAGTTCTTGTGTACTTTAATTTAAAAAACAAAAAACAAAAACGAAAGAAACTGCGATATTTTGCTTAAACCCTCTCGTTGTCGAGAGGCCCAAGCATTTAGTTTGTAATAAAAAATATGTAAAAATATAAAACGCAAAACGAAATGAAATCCATTTATTTTCTTTAAGAAGAATCCACCCCAACCCACAATGTTCTCATTATTATAATTTGTTTGAACTCATTTTCAAATGATATTTTCATTATTCTTTATTATTTGGCCATCTTTCATCCATGTTTTTTTATAATTTTTTCTTATGTTTTTTTTTGATACACGAACATACCATAAATGTCCCATTTATAGAGTTACAACAACAAACAAAAACAACTATGTATTTATTTTAATTGTGTACGAAATAATTTTTTTGTCAAATTTTTGTCATAATGAAAAACAAATGTATTATTTTTTTATTAAAAACAAAAAAAACGCAAGAAGAAAACCATAAATATTCCCTGCCTCTATTTAACTAATAAGTAGCAATGGCAATGATGAAATAATAAATGTCCTCAACAGGAAATTGAAAACGAAAATGTATTAATGTTAATATTTTTAAGTTTGTTTCAATACATGTATTTTTTATATTTAAAGAACACAAAACAACAACAACAAGAACCATATGATCTTAATTTTGTAACCAAAAATAAAAACAAAACAAAAAATCCTTAAAAAAGTAAAACAAAAAAAAAATCAATTCAATAAAGAAAAATTATGTTCTGAAATTGTGCTATTAGATAACTCGTCAGGGTTTCTAAAAAGGCAATGGATGGATATAAAAAAATGAAAAAGCAAAATAAGAATCTTTTATTTTTATGGGAGGGCATTTTCACAATGGATGGGTTTTTAAGGGAAATGGGAAAAGATCGCGTGTAATTGTGAATTTTAGAGCGGAAGTTTTCATATTTAGTCCTGAAACTAACCGTTATATGTTGAAACAAACGTTCTAATCGTTAAACGTTCTATCTTTTTATACTCTAAGCGGCTCAAAATACCTAAAATCTATCGGGAAATGAGCTACGTCATTGTTCATTTTCTGCCAGGAGGGTTTTATATCATCTAAGAAAATGAAATATACATTTGCATCAAATATATACATACATCAGCATACGAAATTGGAGCGGTGCCCCTCTGAAATTATCAGCAATTTATTTTCCTTCTATTACGATCAAATTTTCAAGGAAAAAATGCACTCCAACTTGATTTTTCTTTATTTTTTTTTCAAATGGAAAATGTTTTTAAATGTTTATTTACTTTTGTATTCCATTATTTTTAAGGATAAGATACTAAGAAGTCTAATTTTTACACACTTTACCACACTGTGGTGTGGTATGTAACAGGCAATAGGAAACGAGATCCTTTGGTTGGTTCCTTTTGAGAATATGAATACATAGAATCACTTTCTGAGTCGATTTATGAATGTCCGACTGCCTGTCTGTCCGTCCGTCTATGTTAAATTGTAAATTGGTGAAAATCGGTTCAGATTTAGATATAACTCCAATATATATTTTCGTCCGGTTTTTAGTAAATGGTGCAACAAAGAGTCATAGGCCGATTGGCACGAAATTTGGCACAATGTACTGAAGTTAGTATAGCCTAAGGTGTACCAAGTTTTATTGAAATCGGTTCAGATTTAGATATAGCTTCCATATTTATTTTCGTCCGATTTTTAGAAAATGGTGCACCAAAGACGCTATGCTGGGCCGATGGGCAAAAAATTTTGTTCGTCGTACTGTAGTTACACGTAGTATAGCCTAGCGTGCTGGCGAAAATGGTTCAGATTTATATATATCTTCCAATATATATGGCCGATACGAGATAGACACATGTTTCCTGTCCGTCTGTCCATGTAGGTGTGTGAACAAAGTATAGTTCGTATTTATATCCGATTTAGACGAAATTTGGCACAAGTCATTTATTTGGCTCAAGGACGAACACTATTGAAATTGGAGGAAATCGGTTCAGATTTACATATAGCTCCCATATATAGTTTCGCCCGATTTTATATAAATCGTTTACCAAACTCCCAATATTTGTCCGATTGAGACAACATTTTGCACAGCGTACTGATTTGGTCCAGTTGATGTATGTGAAGTTTTGTTGAAATCGGTTTAGATTTAGATATAGCTCTCATATTTATTTTCGTCCGATTTTATCTAAATGGTGCCCCAAACTCTCAATACTTGTCCGATTGAGACGAAATTTTGCATAGCGTCAGGTCCAGTGAAATTTTGTTGAAATGGGTTCAGATTTAGATAAGCTTCCATATATAGCTTCGTCCGATTTTAGGTAAATGGTCTACCAAACTCCCAATGTTTGTCGGATTGAGACAAAATTTTGTGCAGTGTAATAAATTAAGTCCAGTTTGATATTTGTGAAGCTTTGTTGAAATTGGTTCAGATTTAGATATGTATTTCCATCCGATTTCAACTAAATGGTGTACTAAAAAAATAACTAAATTTTTTGCGATTTTAACGCGTTTTCGATTTTGTAAAATTTATTCATACGTAGATATAACCCCTTGATATTTTCGTCTGAGTTCATGGAATAGTAAAGGTGTCTCTTAGTGAGATAAAATTGTGGACAGTTCACTGTAATGGAGCATACCAAATGGTGTATGCCACGGTTGCTTAATTAGTTCCAGATTTATATATAGTTCCCATTTATTATTTTGCTCGTTTTCATACAAATGGTACACAAAATAATCCAAGTCTGTCCCATTGATATGCAATTTTTATAGATTTCAGAATGGTATGTGTATGGTTGCCTTCAAATATCTATGTAGATCACACATTTAATTTAGTCCGATTCCATTTTAATGGTCCTCCCATGATGTTATATCTGTTATATCTACAGGATATTCTACATACGATCGTCTCTTGTATGTACCCAATGTGGTGAAGGGTATAATATAGTCGGCCACGTCCGACTTTTGACCTCTCCATGCTGGTTTTTCTATTGTTTAGTAGGGGAGACCGGGCACCTTCGGCACTTTTTTTAGAGCTCTATATCTCAGTACTTATTCAACATATATAACAACTTTATGGCTTATTGTTGTCCTCGGACACTTAATTATAAAAAATAGTACCAAAAAGATATAAAGATATATATATATATATATATATATTAGTTAAAAAATTTTACAGTTTTGTAAAAAAAGTCAAATTCGCCGAATGTGCCCCGTGGTAGCTTCGGCATTTGCCGGATAATTGTCATCGCTATCAGTTTGGTTGAAATTCTGATCCTCTAAAAGCTCTATTTGGTTTTAATACGCCACACAATGTTTGACTTTTAGGGCTATATTTTCTAGCGGCGGACGTTTACATCTCAAGTTCGCACACACCATCAGAAATAGGGGTTTTCTATTGCATTTTCGTCAATATAAGCACGTTTGATCTTATATATGCAATTTCGAACCATATTAAAGGATTAGTTTTAAAGACAAACTCAAAAATATTTTAAGGAAATAATATTGCACAATCTGTATATGGCCGAATGTGTCCCACTTTAAAATGCCGAATGTACCCCGAATGTACTTTTTATAGTTTTTTTCATTTTTTTCGATCAGTTTTGAAGAAACATTATATTTTTAAATATTTCTATTATAATACACATCGTAGTTAACCACTTTTTAATAATATTGTCTTAAAAATTTAAAAAGTTTTATACACGAAATACTTACGAAATGGAATTGAAATATTACAGAAACATCTAAAAACCAGTGAGCGGAGCAGTATAGTCGGACGGGGCCGACCATACGATACCCTACACAACTACCACGGAACTCAAATTTTCTGCGGATGTTTATTCCGAGACTGGGCAATATTTCGTGATATTTGCACCCTCTTGCCCGATTAGAGGTAAACAGCACATGTTCCTCACACTGACATATTTTCCGAATATTACGAGTATTCAGTACAACTATTGTCCAGATTCCCTTCACCGTGGGTTGTGTTGTGATGTTCGGCTTTCATTTGAGGTTTATAGATCGACTCGAAACACAAAAAATTAAGTTTTCGGTCCACTTCATTCCAAAATTATTATGTGATCATCACCGAAAATTATAGGCGTTGTCCTTAACCATAACTGGAACCTCATGGAACATTTCAAAGCGATCAGCGCTATAGTTCCGCT